AACAGTAATGAAAACTTTGATGAAGGTTTAATTGTTTCTGACCTACGAGTGTTCCTCGGTCAGAGATCGCCTCCCAACTCCAGGGCTGTCCATAGGCCAAGAATTCACAATTAAGTTTTTAGTAAAGTTGAAGTCTATTACTAGTATCTTTACTTACTGGTGTCAAATCCTTTGCCTCTGGTAAATTAGAGACGGTCATTCAGCAGTAAATAATAATGACCTGATGATAATAATGGAAGTTCTACGACAGACGTTTATCCCAAATAATGTTGAATACTAAATATTTAAACTTTATTAATTCGTCTTATTAAAGCAAAGCTTTAATTTGGAAAATAAATTTGGTGCCTTATCTCTACATGGCAATGTTACAAACAGAAAAGCTGAGTTAAAAAAACCATTAAATAATAGCGCACGTATTTTATGACCGCTAGTGTAGGCTTTAACGTTACCTACAAAAAAAAATAGTTGTTAACCCTACACTAGTACAGTCAAGAGAGGACAGTGTTGTTGCTATAGCAAGTTATTATGGATCCAGACAAAGGTGGGCCCGCGGGCGCTCGGACCTGGCATTGTAGTCAGGGAGCCATGGCTGAAAACAGCTAAGCAATTTAAGAAAAAACTTTTGTTACAAACTGTTTCTTAATCTACGGCCAGTGTTAAAAACAAAAGGATGATCTTTTCATTTCAGAAAAGACATTTGTTACAGACCGTGTTTTGTTTTTATTTAACCATATTGTTGTGAGCGACGTTGGATTTTTACCTACTGAAAAAAACGGTAAAGAAAATTTTGAAATTAAAATATATCCTGAAGTTACAACAAAAATTGTTTACAAAGTTATGGTTTAAATAAATCGAGTAGCCTTCACTAGTACATGTGTGTCTATTATTCAATGTTAACCTACTTAGGTATTTTCTAAAATTAGATAAACTGAAACGTTCTTATGTGTTCGTTACTATAATAATGTTATCTAGTCTGGGTTTGTTCTGCACTCAAAGGGGAGCCTGCGGGCGGTTGCTTGTGAAAGGACTCTGGCGTTTTAATAATATTAAAGTACTTGGCTTTAAGGCTGCCGCACATTCAGTTACTATCTGCTGCCACAAATTGTGGACTTAAATATCCATAATCATATGTATCAGGATTTGAAGACATTTGCCTGATGTGGTGGTTCGTCCTCATTCATAGCGGATGGTTCAAATCCCACGGGAGAATAATATTATGCTGATTATGAACGCTTTATTTACCCTCTAGTCTGTAACCCTATGTTACCTACTTCTATTGAGTATGCTCTGATATGAAAATAATTAAATTTTACTCGTTAAAGGGTTACCTATGTATGAAAATTTTCATCTTTTGTGGCGGCCTCTTGTGGCTTAGTTTGCGGCGGCGCTTAAATTTATTATAAGAGACGCGTTCGCTTTGAAGGGATAAAGGAACAATGAACACAAAGAAGTAGTGGTGCCTATGGCTTATTTTCATTATATTAGATTCTGATGATACTTATCTACTTAAAAATTTATTTTGTTTCGCCAACCTTCCCCTTGAAATTGAATAATAGTCACAGTCAGACAAATGGCCTTAATTCTGACATACAAACTTATTAAGTTCTTTATAATTAATTTACAGGATAATAAGGGATATAAAGACAAACGCAAAATTTATGTGTATTCCAGTCAGACAAGCATGAAGACACAGTCGTAGGGCTTCTAATAAATGTCATTATTTCCTGACGGTTACAAACTATCCTTCTTGAATCATAATAGGATAGGTAATCGCTAATACGATATAAGTTACAGTTTCCTTGTTTTCCCTTAAACTCAATGACTAGGNTTTTCCTTAAAATCAATATAAAACAAAAACACATCGTTCTCAGCTAGTTAACCGGCACTAATAAGAAAACAAACAGGTCGCGGCGGGTCAAAGAGTCATGTGTCACACGAGCTTAAGTCATGACTGGCGGTCACGACGCCGCTGACATTATAAATGGAGAGCGTTTTAGTGCAGGAAAGAGACGTGGCGTTCAGTTTTTCTGAGACCTCTAAGGCTGGATCCACCACTTTAACTTTTACAAACGTCAAAAATCTGTCAAACCCCAAACAAAAAGCACCGGTTATCGTTATACTTACGGTTAAAGTTAGGTGGTGCAACTCAGCTTAAATGTGCGACAGATATAACAAAAGACTCCAGGCACGAAAATATATTGATTAATAGCAGCTTTGCACATGGTATATCTAGTCCAAGAAAAGCAAGCAATCATGAAAAATTTATAAACGCTCCTTTATTTGTGTCATATTTAAGTTTATGCATGTATTTGTGTAAAGATTGATCCGGAATTAATTTCCATGAACTGATCTCCATTCAGTACCTACTTGCATGCAGTTGAATCATTGGCTTAAATATATTTTAGAGAACCAAACTTGACAGTCCTTTTATAATGGGCCTTACAGTTGCTTTATAGACATCTATGAGGAAATCTATCGTCATAAAATTTTGTTCTACATTAGAAAAGTATACAAAAACACATTTCACAACGGCTGTTTGTTACACTAAACACAACGTCATTTTACGTCAAATTCAATATCGCTACATAAGTACTCGCAACTGGTTTCCAATATAGAAAGTGCTCTTATCTGACGTTTGAATCATGACTTTCAACCTGTCCTGACGCAATTGACTAGTTTTAGTTAAATTACTTTTGGTAGTGATTCTATTTGCTTGTATTTGATCTTTATAATACGTTGTATTAAAAATGGTAGTAGGTGATCCTCTCCTTTCTCAACTTAGGCTGATTTCCACCACATAACTTTGACGATAACCGATGTTTTTTGTATGGAGTTTGACAGATTTTTGACGGTTGTTAAAGTTAAAATAGGATGATGCAACCGAGCCTTAAACATTCCTGTACCAAATAAGAAGATTCATTTATTAATCTGACAAGTACAGAGAATTCGTTTTAGCGAATATTTTTATTTTTTTATTTTATTTTCTTTATTAGGAAAACATACAGCTTAAATTATGATACATCCCAACTAATATTATAAATGCGAAAGTAACTCTGTCTGTCTGTCTGTCTGTCTGTCTGTCTGTCTGTCTGTCTGTCTGTCTGTCTGTTACGCTTTCCCGCTTAAACCTCGCAACCGATTTTGATGAAATTTGGCATAGAGATAGTTTGAGTCCCGGGAAAGAACATAGGATAGTTTTTATCCCGGTTTTTGAAACAGGGACGCGCGCGATAAAGTTTTTCTGTGACAGACAAAATTCCACGCGGGCGAAGCCGCGGGCGGAAAGCTAGTGTAGAATAAAATCTAAGAACGAAATCCTTACTTGCAAGTTAATTAATGAAAATGAACTTTGTGAAACAAGTAAAGATAATAATAATAATGTTCTATATCGAGTTCGTCGTGAATAAGCAAAAAATCTACGTAAATACGTATGTCAACAAACGTAAAGTGTATTAAACAAAGATCATGTCTTTCGGCCTTGAGATTTAATTAACATGAATTTACGTCAACAAGCACTCTATATTTCTAAACTAAATGGTTTTATTTGATACTTGTGCCAAACAACAGATTCTGACTTATAAAATTGCAGAGACTGAAAATATCGCTGTTCAAGAAGGATTCAAGTATCGAAGGACCCACTGCGTCAAAGGCAACCGCCACACCACAAGGCCATGGGGGCGTCGATATAGTTTTAGGAATCTCCTGCTTAGGAATTTCAGCGACAGCTGGCTGTCTTTTAGAATTCCGTCCACTTTACCGCCGCGTAGTCTGCCCCCGCCTGCGTGCCAAGAATTCATTAGATGGAGCTGTTTCGAGAACAGTGTTTTTAACAAAAGAACGTTTCAATTGCTATTATTATCAGTCGAAGTTTGGAGAAATATTTGGATTTAGTTCGTTTCATGCATGCGGAGCGTACATTTTATATTACGCTTGCGTATTCGGTGAAGTTTTCCTAAAACTAGCTAACGGTGATGCGATGGTGAAAATCCACGAAATCGTTCATTCTAAGCAAAGCGGGCTAGTTGGTAAAAATACAGTTAAACTAAATCAAGAGTTTAAATTGCACATGACAATTTATATGTGTTCTAAAATTTACGAATTTTCCTAGTTATTTTTTTGTAGAGTTGCATAATTTGGTTTGTAAACTAGCACCTCTGATTGTTGAAATCATAAAGTATTATTGTAACTTATTTTAGTATAACGAAAACAATGTGATGTAAGTTTATAATGAAAAATATTTAAAAAACTTAATACCTATTTCGTTTCTTGGAAAAACACTGATGATAACGAGTTAATTTAAAAGCCTGTTTTCTAAAACGACGTTGAAATATGAACCTATCTCTAAGAATAAAAAGATTCGAGCCTAAGATTGGTCTAAATATTTAAATTAAGCCAACCAAAGATTGCTCGAGTTTGAATCCAGTTTTAGCATAATTTCGTATACAGATTTAATGTTTTGCTACTATAAAAACCTTTCAAAAACATTTGTATGAGAAATTATATTATTGTGTATGAGGCCCTCTTCGCGATCTTATACAAATAAAGCACGCCTCCACACACGTCACTAAGCAAAGTGAATTTATATTTACCGATGTGATCTTCACCAGATCGTCGGTCCACCTAGTGGGAGGCCTGCCCACGCTACGTCTTCCAGCTCGTGGTCGCCACTCAAGAACTTTTCTGCCCCAGCGGCCATCATCTCTTCGAGCTATGTGAAGGTCGCGGGAAGTACCTGGATGCAAGCGGCGCAGGACCGGTCTTTGTGGAAATCCTTGGGGGAGGCCTTTGTCCAGCAGTGGACGTCTTTCGGCTGAAACGAACGAACGAACGAANTATATTTACCGATGTGATCTACCAAACGGTAAGTCAGTTTGCCTGATCGGACTACACCTCTATTTATGAAATCATGGGCCTATTGCTTTTTTATATAAATTACCTACATGCTGAAATTATTCCTAGGTGTTTTGGCCTCAGTCTATGTTTACTACGTGGATTGCATAATGCTTGCCTCCAGGTAAGGCCAAGTGATTCGTGTTGTCAAGTTCAAAGACACGACAAACAACGCAAACGGTTTTAATAAATAAAAGTTGAATGAAATACTGAAATATTTACTACATAGGTATTAACACTTGTTTATCTAATTTCAGTTTCTGAAGAAACATGGAACTTTAAACGGAAAATTTTATACTTTAAAGTTGAATCCATTATTGGATTTTTGAAGCTGTGTTGTTGTTTCACAAGTCTTTATTTAAATAATAAAGTAAAAGGGACAAAAAATATGCTTGCCGCTAATGAGTTTATTAAACTCAATGACGTGACAATGACTTTAAGAGGAGCAAAATGTTTGCTTTATATTCTCTATTTTGAATGTGAAAATGCAACAAGATTACACATACAATAAGAAGTAACTTTCTGCTCTAAATGTAAGACAAAGAACAAAAAACTATCACACGATATCAAGTTGCTTATTTTTTAATACGTTCTTCAGTTCTTACAATCATTTCTTAAGAGAGAGGACGTAAATGCGCGTTCGCCTGCTTTTTAATTGACATAAAATCAGACAGAGAGGTTTTGTCGGACCTTCGGTGACCGCGGCCCTAGAGGGCCATTCCACAGATCAATTTCAATATCGATTTTCTCTGTCCTGCTCTCTTGCCTAATATCTTAGTGTGAGTGAAAGAGGCGGGTTTAAATGGAAGTTATCAATATTGTTTTACAGAGTAGAGCTCATAAACCGGCTCGGCCGGTTCGAGGAGAGACGCCATCGCAAAATTTCGGCCATATTGGCGGTAAAAACTGGGATAAGTGACGTTGGAGTCTGGAGTTTAAACGAAGGCCTGCTGCTTTAAAAAGAGCTTGAATTGCGATGCGCATTCGTAAGTATTGGGGTAGAAATGAATTTTACAACGCAAAAAGTACGGACTAACGCAACATTTGAAGAAATTTAGTTATAATACCTAATGAAGCTATATACTTTAATGTATGTTGAAACTAAAACAGAAACCTACTGTAATTTACCAAATGGCTAGAGCCATAACTTGGAGAAAATGATTATGATGAAATATATTAGCTGTGCCCGCGGCGTCATATGACTGAAAAACCCCTATCACCTAAGGGTATGAAAAATTGTTTTAAATATCCTAATCTCAGACCTACTGAATGTACACCCAAAATTTTATAAGAATCAGTCAAGCTGTTTCGGAGAACACTGACACGAGTATTTCTCCTTATTAAAGAAACAATGACTTCTGGTACTCTCATCATACTAACATTTTCCAAGGATTCAAATCCACAACCGCATTCGGCGTTGTAGGGCGAACCACGCGCCGTACGACCTTCTGTTTCCTTTTATAATATTATATATAATATATGAATATGAACACTATTTATACTAACACCGGTTCGTCATATTCTCGTATAAGGTCAACATTCTTGACCTCGAAGTACACCGCAGCGTGGCAATTTAGCCTAAAATCTGATACACGTGTAGAACTTGAAGTTCATCAACATCTGACATATAATATCGGTGTTGAGCGACGCTCGGGGAGCTACCGCGGTAAGAAACGTCATTGTCACTGACTACAGAGTATAGAATGACTTGCGGTAAGCGCCTAAAATGGACGTGGACTAGTAAATTGTGTTATAGGACTTTTGGCACTAAATTTGGCAGTTGTCGTGCCTGCAAATATAGGCATCTCGTAGCACGTTGCTTTGTCTAACAAAACGAGTAACTAAAAAGATACAGTTTTAACTGTATAGTCAACGCCAATAGAAAATGGCATTTTCACATTGAAACCCTTGTCATGAGTGTATCTTTGATTGCACTGTAAAATTATCGTAAATTACTGATTATTTAATAAATAAATGAATATCCTTGGACTTTTATTATACGCTTCTAGTCCCACTGAGTAAAGCTTGTACTATGGGTACTAGACAACTGATATGAACATACTTAAATTCTTTTGTTTTACTTGGTTACACAAAAAAACAAAAAAGGCCATTGCAAATCAAAAAAAAAACCACCCAAAAAGCCTGAAAATTTGACTTACGCGGTTCGAGTACCACATCAGTGATCGCCGTGACGTCACCGCGCGCCGGCCAATCGCGTGCCCGAGCGCGCGGGGCGGCGGCGCGAGCGCAGCGCGGGCCAGTCGCGCCCCGCCGCCGGCCCGGCCGCGCGTGCCGGCCGACGGGCCGACTCCCCTGGCCCTATCCACCAGTGAGTGTGTGTTTCTTAATTGGAGCGCTCGTGAAAAACCACGCCGGCCTCCAGAATACAGGACCTTCAACGTGGTAAGTTCTAAGCCTAACCATCTCGATCCTCAACTCAATTCTAGATTTGAAAATTATAACTTGAATCGAACTGCCTAAGGCGGGAATTGAACCCACGACCTTCCGCTTGCCGGGCGACTGCTCTTACAACTGAGCTACTTAGACACTGGATGAAACCGTCGAAATTTTCAAGTGTCGAAAGTTTCTTCAATATTGGGTATAATCATTTCTAGATTCTCCGAATCAAACCAATTATTGGGCGGCAAATGATTTGAGGATCAGCCCATAGGAAACCGGTTTCACAACCGAACGAAATTCACAAGTTAATCGACGGAAAAAACCTTTACATCGCTTTTTTAAATGGCTGTAATTAATTACTCGGGTTAATAACGCATTTTTTGTGGACAGAACATGCCATGAAAAAGCGCGGTTACCCAGACTTCTTAATTAATATCGCTAAAGCGTGGGAGAGTAGGTACATCGGTATTCACTGGAATTTTTCTAAGTTGTTCAGCTGAGAACTGCTTCTTGTTATATTTTGTGCTATCGTAAAACACCTATTTACTTTAAAAGATTTAAAATTAAATTGATATACGAGTTAAGGGAGTAACAAAAACAGTATTTTATGTATTTGCCGATACAGAAAGTTCTTTCGGGAAGTCCCAACAACCAAATCTTCTGATCCGTCAGGTTCAAGGAGCTGACGCCTATCTAAATATCTTTATATAACACGCAACAAGCGATCTACCACTTATTTATTTATCTTACTAGCTTTCCGCCCGCGGCTTTGCCCGCGTGGAATTTCTGTCACAGAAAAACTTTATCGCGCGCGTCCCTGTTTCAAAAACCTGGAGAAAAACTATCCTTTGTCCTTTCTCGGGACTCAAACTATCTATGCCAAATTTCATCAAAATCGCTTCAGTGGTTTAGGCATGAAAGCAAGACAGACAGACAGACAGAGTTACTTTCGCATTTATAATATTAGTATAGAGTATAGATATAGATTACACACGGTAATCTTTTTACTCGTCCATCATTAACTTTTGAATAGGCAACATAGAAAACTACATCTGTGCGTCTAATGGTGAGGCCTATCTCATATGAATACTCGTCTCCGAGCATCCGGGTTCAACGCCGCCCACGGCAGCCTTGACCGGCGCGAACTCCTGCGCACCGCCTCCGTCTGAGGTGATTCAGACATTCAGACCGCTCGATCATAAAGTTTTTCCTTGGAAATACATTTTCTTTGCGTCCGACAAGGAAAATGCATTAACTATTTCGATTGCGCGTCCATTTTGTTGGCTAGCAAGTTAGTTTTTGAGTAAATTCAATATTTTGCCCTTTACTAAGAAACTATGTTGAAGAATTTTCCAAGACAAAACTGAGGCACGTAAAAAAGGCGCGGGTTCCAATTCCAGCATTAGAACTTAAAAAGGGAGTAAAAGATTTCTTGAACTTAAATCTTTTATGGGAGATATTTTATGCATTTAGTGTATTGACAAACTTTCGGTATTTTAAAGTACAAAAATTACATACAAATACTAATAAATATGTATACTATAAAATAATTGTACCATCTTACTATAATAGTAACTATAACCATAACCACTGTTTTTTGTATGGAGTTTGACAGACTTATGACTTCTGCTAAAGTGAATATTTCTAAAGTCAAAGAAATTCAATATTAAATTTCTTTGGTGTGAGATTCCCATACAAATGTATGGATTAAATCCATGACGCGGTCGAGCGCGTTGATGTCTTCTCTACGGGGAGGGGCGTTCCGAGCGCCACACCACGATTACCATACATAATTACAATTTCACACACGTTTCATACATTTCCATAGCTACACATATTATATTATAATTGTACTGTGAGAATGTAACTTTTTACTTAATTTCATTGAGATATTTTTATAAATTAATAGTTTTTTTTGGAAGTTGATAAAGATAGTGAAGATTTTTTGATTTGATATTCATTTGGTTACGTTAAAAATAATTTTAAATGTGTACTATTGGAATTCTGAAATTAAGTGAAAAGTGTAGATGTAGTTTTGAAATACTACACACTGAATTGGAAAGTATACAAAGGACCGTAAATTCCTGAAAAGACGCCCTCAATTCGTTTTAAGACTGTGATTGGTTAAATTAAATATTTACGAGTAGATCAATCATAGACTTCAATAATTTTAGTCATAGATTCATAATGCGGTCTACAAGTACGGGTAATTTTCCATAAGAGTAACATCTTGATTAAAACACAACACAAGTCACGTGTCGCACAGCTACGAGTATAATACACTCAGATATGGATTAATATCGATACGGAACGCTGGTATCTCATATTTTCCCCTCCGTTTGCTCTCACAATAAGTGGGACGTGAAAAAATCTATCTGCTCCCGAATATTTTATTATAACATTCCTATATTTTCCTTATTACAAAAATATCTCGTATTTCTCGGATTTTCTATTAGATACTAATATTGTTATGGATGAAACTATCGGGAAAGAAGTTTCCTTTTCTGTAATGCTGCAACAATACATTTCATTTTGATAATTATTTACTTTTTATGAAACAGAAAATAAAATAAATTTTACTTTTCTGTATAAAACTTGCAGTTTGCGCAGAGAGTTTGACTGATTGGTTTGAAAGTGTATTTTATAAAGACAATATTTACCAGTATTTTTTTTGGTACAAAAATATTAGATTTAAACGGCATCTGAAAATATAGGTGTATGTTTAGTAAAGCGTAATTGGAAGATTTCTAATGAACACAAGATTACGCGTGCACAGCCGCGGGCAACGGCTAGTATTTGACAATTTAATCGTAATAGCAACAATCGCTGTAATGATAAATAATAGCAACTGCTTGCGAAATAACGTTTGAGCGTCACGTGGAAACTTCAACATTTCATGTTCTTATTTCACGGTACATAAATTAATATTTTGTTAACTTGTATCTTGTTAAGTTTGAAAAAAATAGATGCATTATAAACGATATTGTACAATTTAGAGTTATAAATCGAAAGATTGACAACTAGAAAAGTTATTACGCCGGTAGATGTATCGGTAGTTACAAAATAAGCACGGAACCGGGTTCTAATAATGCGAATTTGATGATGTATACCTAACGCTGATGATTGCATTGAACCTTTGCGAGATCGAATCAGAAATGAGGAGATCCATAAACGAACCAAAGTCGCTGACATAGCCCGACGGATTAGCAAGCTGAAGTGGCAATGGGCAGGGCACATAGTACGCAGAACTGACGGCCGATGGGGCAGAAAGGTTCTGGAATGGAGGCCGCCCGCGTACCGGAAAACGCAGCGTGGGACGTCCACCTACAAGGTGGACCGACGACATCGTAAAGGTAGCAGGGAAGCGCTGGACGCAGACCGCTGCCAATCGATCAACATGGAAAGCATTGGGGGAGGCCTATGTTCAGCAGTGGACGTCCTATGGCTGAAGATGATGATGATGATGATGNGAAAACGCAGCGTGGGACGTCCACCTACAAGGTGGACCGACGACATCGTAAAGGTAGCAGGGAAGCGCTGGACGCAGACCGCTGCCAATCGATCAACATGGAAAGCATTGGGGGAGGCCTATGTTCAGCAGTGGACGTCCTATGGCTGAAAAGATGATGATGATGATGATGACCTAACGCTGATGTATGACGGAGGAACAACTAAAACCTATATTACTACGTGATTACCTTAAGACACTATATTGGTTTCAGTTGTGTAAATAGTGCTCAAATTGTTATTTTGTAGCACACTAAAAAGAAGTTTTAATATTATCTTTTCTTTTTGAAGAGATAGACATCAAGCATTTAACGAATGGGTAGTGACCATACTTTAATGACTATAATTTTGCTGTTAAGATCAGAAATCGAAGTAATGAGTAACTTTCATAATTTTAAACATGAAGTTATATGTGTTAGTAGCGAATGTATAAGTATAATATATTTTAAAATAGGTCATAGCCTGAAGGCCTACGTCTTTCGTCACCGTCTTCTTGACCACACGGGTTTCGCCACGTATCGGCACTTACAAATAAGTTGCATATCAGAGTTGGCCAACTTAATGTTAATAACGTCTGGTTTCTCGTTTCTGTCGCGGACATTTTTGTACCTAATTGTTGTAATTGGACGGCTGCGTAAGCGCAACCTCGTTTCTGCGTACGCTTAAAAGGTTGTTGAGGATTTTTATTTCAATTTTAGTGTTAAATAATGTAGGTACAGGCATCTCAGTGATAAGCTACATGAAAAGGTAAAGAGATATTATGTTTTAAGTATATTTGGAGCGGAATTTAGGTAAATGGATTTTTCCGTATCTTATAAAATTCCATGTTCGTAATTGACGATCGAATTTAAGATATTATAACGTGATTTTTGTGATGAGTAAATTGCTTTGTGATTTCTATATTTGAGATCATTATTACTCTAATTTACAAAGAAATTAAAAAGTACTTAATGCTCTGGTTGATATCAAACCATTCTGCTGTCTTTATCAACATAATAAATACATAAATTCCAACCTATGTATCATGTGTGAATCTTAACTAGGCCTAGCCTAGGTGTGGCTGAAACTAAGTTGTCTTAGTAACTTGGGAAAGTTTTAAATTTATTTTTGATAGTAATAGACTTTTATTAACACATCTTTCTCGTTCCCCCAAAGGTACCGCGGCTAATTAGAAGTTATTAATTAATTCAAATTGTGTCCAATTAATGGGCCCGTAAGAACCCTCATTGTTTAGGGTTCCTACACTATTTACATAGCCACTGACCGTGAATGTGAGGCGTGTGAATCCGCGTCGGCGAAGAATGCGCCCGGAAAAATCTAACAATCCGTAGGGTACCCGTGGTTTTGGCTCAAAAAAGGATTTTAGGATTCCCAATTTCTTTAAAAAACAGGTTTATTCATATTTTTGTAGTTGTGAAAGTAATGTTGTAGTTTGAAAATGTTAACTGATAAGATATTATTTCTCATGATGCGGTGTATTAGTAGGTTTGGTTTGA